CTCTCGGCAGTGTACCAAATGGTGTGGAAGCTTCTGAGAACAAAGTATCAGCATCTGAGGTGTCACGCGAAACACTACGGGTCCAGAGGGGTGAACTGATCCCTCCAAATGTATCATCGTCGCGACCCAGGCTACTGCGTGACATCGTCTCTGAGATTCTCCTGTTGTTTGAAAATATGTTTATAAGAAGGCAGTCTTTTACTTAAAAGTTCAGAGGACAGAAGATTAACTTTTAAAAATGTTTAACACAATATCATGATCTCCGTTCCAGACTAACAGAGATAGAACAAAAGGTAAGAACTCTGCCTCTCCTCAGTTTATATTGCTCTCATGCACATTAAAACAATGTCAAGAAACTTGGAAACGTGCATTCAAAAATAAAACCCTAATCTAGACAAGACCTTGCAGGTGAGTCCCGCGGTGAATTATAAAGTGACGACCAGAAGCCTGAAGAGTTTGAGTGGGCTGTTCCAATCCCTGCACTGCTTGGTGCTGTGCCAGGCTCAGGTGTGGGTTGGTTTGACAGTCGTCTGGCTCTATCACTTCGCATGTCATCTGCATTCATCTTCCTGGTGAGTGAGCGCACGCGGTTGAGCAATGTTGAAAAGAGTGACTCTGCTGTGAGAATCTGGAAACCATCGTCTTCGTCCTCCTCTTCCTCTTCTCCCGCTGAACTGAAGCTTTCACTGTGGTCTAGAAGGAAGCCTCGTCCTCGACTATAGTGGAAAAAAAAAACATTGTTCACTCAGCGCAATATTTGCAATATAAACTAGTTAGCGTAGGTGTTCAAATTAACCAGAAAAAAACGTATATTGTCAGGAAAAAAAAGAAAGAAAAAATCTGAAGTTCAGATCTTATCCGGATCTATATTTCCATATTGTTTTAAACAATAATCATAACTTTAACAATAACTTTAAACCCTCAATGACGGATATGGCTATTGCCCTCATGATTCAATCATGTACTACATGTATCCATGTCATAATTCTCTCGCTCATCGAGCGGGTGCGCTGGTTGTAGATAGCACAAACCCTGCCAGAAAGATTAAAAATAACTTACCACAGAAAATACTTACCCAGTCATGATGGGGTTAATACAATCCATGTAATTTGTAACTGATGTCAACCACTTTTAACTTGTTAAATTGTGAGTAGACAAAAGGTGTTTTTGAACCTTTCACAATTAGGTATAGCAATAGGAAATGCATAATTATAGCAACTATCAAGAGACTGGTACATTCTTATTGCTTTAAAATATAAAAAATGATGGCTACTGAATAATATATGTGATAATAAATGTTAAAAAAGTGACAACATATTCACTAAGAGAATTTGATTTTTAAGTAAAAAAAAAAAAATAAAATGAACCCTAAATAAAAGAGGGCAATACTCAAAATAAATAAGATGCATTTGACATGTGAAAAAAAGTAGAATGCAAAAATCTGCTGAAAAATATCAGTCACCACAGCTAGCAAGGGACAAGAACCTCATTTAACCTAAAAAGCACCAATACCTGTTAGTGTGGGACAGCCGGCGCTGCCACGAGGGAGTGGAGGAATGGTCTACAGGGGTCCTACGAGAAACAGGAGGAGGACCCGACAGAGAGCTGGTAAGGGATATTGGTCCTGTCTCCCCTTCACCTTCCACCTTCCCACTGCTGGCCCAAACACCAATAAGCACAAGCAAGTTCATTAGCAAGAGCAAGTTTGACATTAATACCTGAACTTATTGTAAATGGAGACCAAGGAAAATTATGATTAAAGGCTTGTTAGAATAGAGTTCTTTTTAGGAGTTATCACAGAAAATAAATTTGTGGCGCATTTGCAAATTAAGAACTGAAAGATTACGAACGTATTGTGCTTTTATTCTGAATAAATTACAGCCAAAAATAATAAGATTCCACCCAGAGAGAGAGAGAGAGAGAGAGAGAGAGAGAGAGAGAGAGAGAGAGAGAGAGAGAGAGAGAGAGAAGAGACGAGAGAGAGAGGAGAGAGAGAGAGAGGAGAGAGAATGAGAGAATGAGAGAGAGAAAGAGAGAGAAATGAGAGAGAGAAATGAGAGAGAATGAGAGAGAGAGAGAGCAGGAGAGAGAGAAGAGAGAGAGAGAGAGAAGAGTAGAGAGAGAGAGAGAGAGAAGAGAGAGAGAGAGAGAGAGAAGAGAGGGGAGAGAGGAAGAAGAGGGAGAGAGAGAGAGATCATATTTGGAGTTAAAGCTTTGTCTGCAGATTGCCATTTTGACTAACTTTGCCTAATATTATGCAAAAACTCTAGTCAAGAAAAGCTGTCATAGTAAGCAGTAACATAATCTTGGGGAGAAGTTTGAATAGTTGGTCCAATAAATGGCAGTTCAGAGGTAAAACATAATCCCAAATGTATGAAAATCACACAAAAACAAACAAGCCAGCAAGAGTAAAATATAAAATGGATAAGGTAATAAAATTTGACAAATGCTTTAAAAAGAGAATCTACTCTTGCATACTTTTTGGGATGATGTTGTCACT